GCGACCTAGAATGAGATAACTAGAGCATTCGCAGATATTCATTCTGTTGATCATGAATGGCGCAGACATAATCAATTCGTTCCTCATGAACGTCGTTTTTGTGAATTTTAGTCGAAGACCAGTCTTTCCACAGGCGTTATCAAAATCGGCAAGCATTCGTTCCGCTTGGCTAATACCTGATGTTTTAAGAACGATGTCATCAGCAAAGCGAAGACGGTGTGATTTCCGACCGTCGATTTTCACTCCCATTTTGTCCTACTCCAATGTTCGCATGACCTTCTGGAGGGTTGCAGTAAATAATTCTGGAGAAATTTTATTGCCCTTCCTACCCGCTGTTTTTTTTAACGTTGGTTTTAATATCGTTATAGAATGGTGGCATTTTTGCTGGAATTTTTATGTAGCCCACAAAGAATTTTGATATAATGCGTAGGTGCGTCAAGAGCTTTCATTGCTGCTTCTGTCTCAACTGAGTCAAAACTGACTCATTCGTGCGATGTCCACTGAAGATCCGTCGTGGTACTACGACAAAGACGCCACATCGAGAAGGCGAACAACTCTGAACCATCTACTCGGATCATCTGCTCTGGTGAAGGCGAAGACATCGAAACGTTAGTCGGAAGAAATCTCACTATCAAGCTGAACAGGTTGAACAATTTAAACACATGTGTCAAAAGTTTACCTCAAATCGATAGAGCGGTCTCCTGTGTCATTGTGACTCTGAGGATGACGAAAACATGGAAACAGTCGAATTAAATCTCATTATCAACCTCATGTGAGCTCTGCAATTTAAGCAGATACTAAGTCAAAGTTTTCCCCTAAATCGACAAAAGTGAGATAAAGTAGTCTCTTGTATTATCGCGATAGCTCAATAACTCCTTCATCAGAATACTTGGAATATATGGACGGTTTTGAAGCCTTGCTACATTACTTCATACTTCGGTTGCCAGACTGATAACAATACATTCGTGTAACACTAATAAATGGGAAGAGTAATCGTTTTTTCTGTAGTACCGCTGGAATTTTTGAGGACTTGTAATATTTGAAATAGCACAGACGCGTTAAACGGAACTTTTAATGAGAACACACAACGATAAATTTTCTTTATGCAGTTAGACGTACGAAATTTAGTTAATAGCAAACCCACGACAAAAAAGTAGTGAAAAAAGGATACAATTTTAATGAAGGGATTCAATTCTAAAATAATTATAGGACATTAAATAAATAGCGAGGAAATAAAGTCTCTACTTCCGCGGAATCAGGCCGAACTGTTTCGGTCGAAGTAGGGTTTCGATGACATTTTTTTCAAGCTCATCAAGTTCCTTCAAAACATCTGCCATGTCGCTGAAGAAAGAAAGTTTTCAGATTTTATCGCACTTCCTCTAAACGTTGCATTGAAGGTCCAAATTTTGGACAGCACAGTTTGATTACTCGAATATTTCATTTAACTTATCAACTGAACTTTTTTGACGGGCACGAACGGTGCGTGTACAGCAGTGCTGTGCGTGTATACACGTGGTGACCAATCCTGCACCTGGACTCACTTCCATCCTTTTGGAGTCGCAAAATTGGTACCGAACTTGTCTGGAAGGATAGTAGCTCTGGCTCAATACATCGGTAGGCCACCGCGAGTCGTAAAAGCCAGATATGTATTCAATCACCTCTAACAACGTTTGATGGAGTAGAATGCATGGAACATCCTTTTGGGATTGATGAACGCCAAAAGCTTTATCCTTTATACTTTAATGGGTACAATATTCCACGACGTGTATTTTTTATTTGTCCCGTTTTTGAAATCAGAAATGCTTACATGACAGAATGGCAGTCGAAAGTGTTCATCGCACTCGTATATACTTTAATGAGCAGTTAATATGGAATTGCAGTAACGCAGGACTACACTGTAAAAATATCTACTATGTAAATTGCTTATTTCTTTTTTTTATATACTTTACTGAAATCAAGCAGCCATTACTTTATTTTACTTTTCTGTTGAATTCAAAAAGCGCGATGTGGTCTTCAACTAATTAATGTTCCATAAAGGCTTCTATAAAGAGATGAGTAAATAAATAATAAAGAATAAAGCTCTTGGCGTTGATCAATCTCTTGAGGATGCGCCATCCATTCGAGTTCATTAAGCATCGTTTAGATTCGAACCAGTGCTGCTACCCTCCCAGACAAGTCTGATTTCAATTTACCGATCCCAGAGCGATGGAAGGCCTGGTGAGCCACGGATTCGGGAATCGATCCCATGTGTATTGCGGGGCGCCTCCGACCACTGCGCCACATGCACCCTAAGAGATGAATAGAATACGAAGAAGTGCATTTTCAAGTTAGTGGGGCTCATTTGAAACTGTGGGTGAATATTTTAACAAAAATACGGACCCACAGCGGCTTCGTCAACCCATATCCCCCGAGGTTGGCAAAATGGTGCCAGACTTGTTAGCAAGAATGAAAACACTGATTTCATAAGTCGGTGGGTCGCTGTGTCAACAGCTAACATGTTTACGCTTTAAAAACACTTGGAAAACACTGTACAACCCTGATTTGATAAGTTCGTAGGCCATTCTGCCAACACCGGACATTTTTTGTGCTTTGAAGACGCTTAGAAAACATACAATATTGCTCGGAAGTGTATGACCTTGGTATTAAGTTTAGAATGAGTTTGTTTGAAGAAAATTGTCTACAGCATGAATACTGGTTAGTTCAATTTAAAAGTGAACTATGAAAGTATGTAAATTTTCCAAATGATGTATAAGATTAAAACTAATGAAGGTATGGAAAGATTTAAAAAAAGCAAATGTAAGAACAAAATCTCGTGGAAAACAAAAACAATGTCCCTCTTCCAACAGTTCCTACCTCTCCTTTCTTCCAGGAGCCGTTTTCAATTCTATATAATACTTGATTTTTGGCTCTGTACCCGACGCACGAAGGGTTACGATGCTTCCATTAGCTAGATTGAACGTGATCATTTCGGAAGACGTCGAAAGCGGTAGTACCTGGTTTTACAGCGTTTATGATGAAGTTGACATACCATAAAAATATGCCCAATCAAAAAGGAAAAACTGAGAAAAAACTAGTACGAAAAAGTGAAGGAAGGAATAAGGTTTGCCTATCACCAAACCTTGCTTAAATACTTCATCAAATTTCTCTACCTGCAAATTTACTGAGATACAAAGCCGTTGGTCAAATTAATAGATGAGCTTCTTATGTGATGTTTAATCAATCTCTCCTAGCCACTTCAAAGAAAGAAAAAAGACAAACACAAACAAGAACGAAAAACTCACAGGTTTGTTTCCCGGTTGCGAGTTGTCGTAGCCAATCGTCAGGTCCCGCACTGTCTTTACAGCCTGCGAACCAATCTTCTCGGGGAACTGAAACAATTCACAGCAACTGGACTCAGTTTAATCGTTCCCAATATGAAAGAAGTCATTTGTAATGCTCTACTAAGGACAGTCGGCATGGCCATAGTTCCCGTTCATTTTTCTACTCAGTAAATGAACTTCAGTTTAGTAATTAATTCAATTCACTCGCCAGTTCCTTTTGGAAATTAGTGCCGTTTTTTTTGATTTATTACACTTTAACCCTGTTTGTTTTAAATTGTAACTAGTTTAATCTCGTCTCGAACAAGCTCTCTATCCATTCATGTGCAACAAACTGGATATTGGCAAGTATGCGTGTCGAAAAACTTAGGACGCTCTAAGAGAGTAATCTATCTCAGAAGACCCACTTTCTATAAGCCTCGACATAAATAATCAACATATTTATTTATATGTTCCTATGAACTGATCTTGTTGAGCTGTAGTTTTTGACCAATGTGGCGTTTATTTACATTAGATCGTTAATATTCTTTCCCACCGCATTATTGAGCTATCTTTGTATAAAATACGTCCAGGTTCTGAGAAAGGCGAAATCGCCGAGATGTCAGCCATCGACCAGCAACAGGAACATCGACAAATGCCACAACAAGACTATCTTAGTATTCCAGAGAGAGTCATCTAGGCCAGTATTCAGCGATACTGATGGAGAAGATAGAATCGTAAAGCCTTGCTAAACAGAAATATAAAGAATTATTCGAAGAATGCCGAAATTAATAGAAAGTAGGTCGTGGCAAAGCCTAGTATCAAAACCAATGCAGAAGACCGCGGATAACCAACGCAAAAAAACCACGCAATGAAGTACGATATGCACAATATGTAAGACGCGTCATAAAAATCTTGCAACTACGTTAACGACTTCTTAAGGCATAGAATATCCTGCATGATTACGACCTTCAATAAAATGGAATATCCACGAGTGATTCACGCAACTCACATTTTCTTTGTGTCAATAATTTTCTAAACCGGTAATAAAAGAATTCTCGAACATAACTGATAGCCCGTTCGTTTCCAGATGTCTGACATTGAGTATAAATATGTAGGAATGATCGTACGTGAAATTTATCCAGTTAGTGGCTTTATTCTTACACCTATATCTCGCCATAGTCGACTAACCTTAAGATCTTTTCTCAGTGAACTGAACAACTCCTTGGTTATTGATGGATTCGGCACGAACCAATATGACGACTTGACTATGTGGAATCCATATCTATAATACGTACTTGCACGTATGCAATCAAGTAGACACGTAAAATTAACAAGTACTTTTGGGAACCTCTTAGCACTGATGAAAATGACATGGATAATCTTTCCGTATAAAAGAAATTAATTGTGGCTTAAATAGACGCATTGCGATCAGAAATTTATTTTCTAAGAAGAAAGCGTTTTTCGGATACCTCGGATAGAAATCTGTGCAGCTCTCCAGTCGAAATATTAGAAAAAAGGAAGCAAATAACAAACAACTTTCAGAGTACACGAGGCACCCAGGAACGTAGTAGTAAAAAATGACATGCAAGCAAAACAAGCCGATTTGACCCAACCTTGGGTCAACCAAATCTCCGAAAAAGTCGACGAGTTGGTACCAGACTGAGAAGCGTTATCTCTGATCCAGAGCAGCCAGTGAATACCTGTTGTGAACGCATGAGAACGCTCTGGTAGAGCTATCTCAGGGCTACAAAGAAAATCAAGTCTACTAACGTTCAACCACACTGACGCAAACGACCAAATTCTTAATTAGCAGTCGAACCCACATGAAAATTTCAAGATCCTTGTGGATCATGGATGCGAGAAAACGAATCGAATGAAAGAAGTGCTGATTTGCATAATATGTGAAATTGGGTAGCATAGAAAAAGAGATCAGGCTTCAACTCCACTTCAGAAGACTGCTTTCTCTAAAAACCGTATCTCCTCAAGGGGAGACGTACCGTAGATGAATGTTCTCAGATTGACTTCTAGTGAAGGCGAGCAGTACCGAACTATCCAAGCACCGACGCAAGCGACAGGTGGCGTTTACCTTCATCACGAGTCAATTGTGAATTGCTACATACGTTTTCAAACACTTCTAGCATAGTAACATTGGCTTCTATACATTGAAGCTTCATTCTGGTCCAAAAACTCCTGGGAGACCATAAACGATGAGGTTTCTGCCAACACGGAAACAACCTATAAAGCGTCTTAAAATGAGGCCAAGTTTTGCCACAGTAAATAACTTTTACGTCCTACTGTTCCGTATATGTCGATTCAGTCAAAATCTCATTTTATGACAGTTGATTCGAACTCACTTGTGGTAAATTTCAAACAGCTGGGTCAGTAAGTTCTTTCCTTGTGTGTGTAACCATGCAGCCATCTCAGCGTACATTCCGGCTGTGCTTACGCCGTCCTGAAAAATGATTTCCTTCATTTTCTCGGTAACCGCATACAATGAAAGCAATCTACTAAACAATTTTCTTCACAAACACGTTGGAAGAACTAAAATACAACCAAATTTGGCGACCTTAAAAGAGAGAGCAACTAACCGACTAGCGCCAATTCATAATGAAGCCGAAATTTTGAGGAATTAGGCATATTCTTACCTAACTCTAATGCTTTTTTTGGAAACAAATACGAATGCACTGGTAGTTAGGAAACTAGGTGAGAGGCAGACGAAACGAAGGACCCGCATGAATGTGGTGAACGCGTTAGCCTCCGGAAAGGGTAATCGCGTGTTCGATCCCCACCGCAGACACCTGCGGTCCGGAGTTTTGCAAATACCTCAGCGCCATCATGGTTGCATTTCACATAATAACCTTCTGTGAAAAATTATAGTAGGCAGCAAATAAAAAGTTAACATTACAAATATGGAGGTTTACCGTAATTAAAAAATTTCTAATAGAAAACAATGAAAGGTTAAAATTGGTCTGAACAATGATTATGAGGACAGTGCGGGCAGTGCGCTGTCAAAAACCAAACGGTCACTATTGGTCACCTAGAAGGACAAAACCATTTCTACGAGCTTCGCTAGCAAATTGAACGCAATTCAAGTGTGGCGCAGTGGTTGGAGGCGCCCTGCAACACACACGTGGAATCGATCCTAGTGCCCATGGCCCATCAAGCCTTCTATCCCCGAGGTCGGCAAATTGATACTAGATTTGTCTGGAAAAAGAGCAGCACTGTCTCGATAGGTAGGCCACCACAAGTCATTGTAAAGACCAGATATGTCTTCAATCACCTCCAAACGCTGCTTAGTGAAGTGGAATGCATGACGCATCCCTCAGGGATTGATCAACGCCGAGAGCTTCTTTTTTAAAATTTTCTTCTCACACTACTTACTAAAAGTTGGTCATGTACTTCTTAAAAACGAAATATATTCAAAACTCGTGTATAAGTAAAATCACTCCCGAACATTGTGGGCCGCAACGTGTGTGTTTTGTTGTTCATAGCAATTTGTGAATTTCGCCTCTTGACTTGAAATTTATGTCAAAGTAGTGGTCCACTTTTCGTTACTTACCATTACTTGCTGATTTCTTTGCAATAGACAGAAATTTTCGCTAATTATAGGATATGAGATAGGGAGTGGGGTTAGCCACATGATAGCATCACAAAAAAAATTCCTTTGCTTATGTAATGGTACGCATGCGTATGGTAAATTTTTTATATTTTACTATGACTATTCGGTCCACCATATAAAGATTTCTCTCAACATTTGGAAGTTCATCTTCTTCAACAGAAGAACCAAAAAAAGTTTTTTGCGGCTTATGGTAAGTTCATTTAAACTTTTATGTAAGTGAACATACAATGACTAATTCACCATGGCGACTAGAACTGAAGTAACCCCACAGAAGGTTTACCGCCACGTCCTGACTGGGAGATGTTGTTGAGTGTCAGAATGTACAGAGTCCGAAGTTTCCAACCAGAAGCACACCGAAGAGTAAACCATTACCAGAAATTACCGCCGTCCTGTATCAAATTAGTCGTACGGTGACAAATCTCTCTTATCCAAAAAGGGTAGCGGCCCATTGTAGTCGCGGAATCCTAAAAAAGGCTTCGGTTAGGGTGACCTCGAAAACCAAACTTCGGTCGCATACGATAAGGATATTCTCAACAAAATCCTCTATTACATAATAACTGGCAATTAGAAGACCCGACCGAGGACCAGAAGCTACTTGTCGAAGGATTTAAAACTTGTGCCGAACTCCTCTTAGTTCCTCAAACAAGAAGTCCAGACTGCATCTCTAATAGCACTCAGGAGTTGCTCGAAAAGAGAAGGAAACTGAACCTTGATTCTATTGCAACACACCTAGAACGGCTGGTAATAAATGCCAGTCGTAGATGATTTGTGCAGGAGGACCTACATCGGCATAGGCAAAAAAAGTTATTGGAATCAACGCAAAAACGATCTAGACTGAAGTGTTGTAGGGATTTTGGCCACTACAATATTCTGGTATCCGTCCTGATGAAGGATGGTGAGACGACCACTACATTGCACCATGATATGGAATTGATAACGGAAAAGTCCTATGCCAATCTTTTTCGCTCCACAACCCCCATCTCAGACCCCGTAAACCCCGATGGTGAAAAACCGCCTGGGATTCTACGCTCTGAAGCACGATTTGCGATAGAAAGCATGAAGAGGGGCACAGCTCTAAGACCTGATACTATCACTGGCCATTTCCTTAGACCTTGAAGGCACAAATTATACATACTGCTCGTAGTCTACATGACATCTTACCTTCAGAAAGAGAAAATTTCACAGCAGTGGAGGACACGGGGCACAGTCATCCTGCCCAAAAAGGTGACCGAGGGAATCTTTGTAACAATTCTCCAATATGCTCGTCGAGTGTTCTCTACAAGCTGTTTACGAAGACTATTCTTTTGTGTATAACGAAAACCTTGGATGAGGCATAACGAGTTGAGCAAGCAGGATTCCTACAGAAGTTCTACCGCGTGGACTACATCCAATCCATACCCAAGGTTATAAAGTTTATTGCGTGTACTATCTCCCCTTGTCCTAACCTTTATCGACTACGAAAGAGTGTTTGACAACGTCAAAACAAATGAAACTCTATTAGCGCTCGTCGATAAAAGAGAGGAGCGGTACTATATACAAACACTAACAGAGTGTTATCGAAACCGCAGCACAGATATACGGCTTTTTCATCGACCCCTCACCATACCTATAGGAAAAGCGGTTCAACAAGGCGACACCACATCCCAAAGCTGTTTACTGCGGTGCTGCAGTGGATACTGAAATCACTCGATTGGGATGAGAATGGCATACGTATTCGTGGCAAATTCCTAACAAATTTTCGTTTCGCGGATGACATCGTCATCTTTTCGAGGAGTAGCAGTGAAACGGAGCGATGCCCAGTGCATTCAACGAAGCGTGAAAAAAGGATTGCAATGCGCATAAATAGGAAGATTTACCTCATGAAGAACCCATGATGTGAAAACGAAAAAATCGAACTGGATGGTATTCCGAGTACAGGAACCACCTCATGCATGCGCCTTGGACGTTCAGTGAACGTGGAAAATAAGAACGAGGAATTACAAAGAAGAAAGAGAGAAGCATGAGGGCAGGATGAGCAGATTAGCATGGGACGCATTCGGGTCTCTCAAAGAAGCCACTGCTCAACTGTATCATCTGTATCACCTGTAGTACCGTTGATCGTCGAGTGACTCGAGCGGGCGCCAGTAAATCTTCCATTTCTCCCTGTCGCGTGCAAGAGTAGCCCAGTGGGTTCTGCTCGCTCTAGGAACTCGTCCAGCATCATAGCTTTCTTCTAGGTTTTTCGTGAAGAACTCTGACTATCGAGTCGGTGGTCTTCCTGCAGTGCGTTTAACATCCAGAGAAATCCAGTTAATAACGGCTCTTGTCCATCGGTTGTCATTCACACGCACTACGTTTCCGGCACATCTTATTTTTCATTGTTTGGCGTACAGAACGGCATCTTTGATTTCTGATCGTTGACGCACGTCGGAGCTTCGGATCCCACCCCTTAGTTGTGTGAAACGGGATAATCCTAGCATCGTCCTAGCGTTCTATAACGCTGAGTGATCTTTCATCCTGCTTACGCAACGACCAGGTTTCTGGCGCATGCGTTAGGGCAGGAAGTACCGTTGAGTTGAAAAGGTGGGCACAGAGTCGGGTGTTCTTTGCTCTCTTCACTACATTCTCAATGCTCTTGAAAGCTCACCGAGCCGCTTGTTTCCTCCTGCTCAACTCTGGAGCTAAGTCGTTCAACATGTTTCAACATGTTGATTTCCCGACCTAGATAGACATAACTAGAGCACTCGGAGATATTCGCTATGTTGAGCGTGAATGGGGCACACGAAACTAATCCGCTCCTCATGAACATCGTTTTTGTGAGATTTAGTTGAAGACCAATCTTTCCACAGGCTCTATCGAAGTCGGCAAGCGTACGTTCCGCTTGGCTAATGTTTGGTGTTATAAGGACGATATCATCAGCATAGCGAAGATGGTGTAACTGCCGACCAACGATTTTCACTCCCATATTATCCCATTCCAATGTTCGCATGACGTCCTGGAGGGTGGCGTTAAATAATTTTGGCGAGATGGTAACGCCTTGCCTAACCTCTCCTTTGACATCAATGACAATATCGTTGTATAATGGTGACATCTTGGTTGTGAAATTTTTGTACACGTCACGAAGAATCTTCATGTACTGAGTTGAGACTCCTTGACTATCAAGGGCTTCCATCACTGCTTCTATCTTAATTGATTGAAAGGCCTTCTTTAAACAGATGAAAGTGAGAAACAGAGCGGTCAAAAGACCGTACTCTCGCGATACAAACACCCAAAAACCCAAAACTCCGCGCTCACCTTTTCGATTCAACAGTGCTATCAGCGGTCTTTCATGCAGCAGAAAAGTGATGTGATATTTCAACCACATTAAGAAACTTGCGTACCGTCCACAGAGTGGTTGAAGGATGCCTTCTAAAATTTAACCGGCACTCGCTACGTCTAGGCGGAATACGTCTAGTAGCTCATATCCCTAAAACGTATCCCACCTTTGGGATCCAGGAGAATAAAGATCAATAGCGAAACAGATGGGCCGATCACATAATAAGAAGAACATGGACGAAAAGAGCAGGCGGGCTTCGGAAAAAAGCAAGCACCCTCATGGAAGACCACCTGAACGATGGGCAGATGCGTTCGTGGTTAACGTCAACCATTTGTATTCGAATATCGGGATGATTTCAGGACTATGAAATAGGCCTTGCGAATATCATCATGTTCGGAGCAAACCACCACCATGGATGACGCTAACACAAAAGAGAAACGAGTAGAAAAACGTTCTAATATTAGGAAGAACGCTGCTGAGACGCAACCTATGTACCTATGCCGATATACCTTTGCAGTGTCCTAATCAGCAAGTCTCTGTGTTGTAACACATCTTGCTAACTCCTCCACCAGTTATCAGACTCTGTGCAGGCCAAACAAGTTCTTACGAGAGTTCTTGGTAAATTATATGGTGTTTAACAGTTTTTCTCAGATAAAAACTGACTGGTTTACTATCAAACAACAGTTTTGGTGGGGAACTTATCAACTGAACACAAAGTGTAGAAAAAACTGAGCAACGAGCGAAATGGTTAAGAACAAATTGAATCAGATATGATTCGTTTCTCATGTTGATTTGATAACTTTTGATAATCAACAAACTAAGAATTGATAGTATCGACTGTAGAATCATCTCAATTAGAAGGCAGAACCCGAAATTTAGGGTACTTACTAGGTTTTCCCTAAAGTTTTGAAAACGCAAGGGCAAAAGTGTTCTCCACAGCGTGTTTTCAATTGCTTTTTGATTGACAGAAACTTATGATTCTATGAGATTTGATAAAATCTATGCAATACAAATGCTAATCCTGTTATAGATACGATTTCAGCTAGAATTTCCTTGCTTCGTCATCAAAACGTTGTACTTCTGTATCACTCGAGTAAAAATGTTTGAGAGAGAAACTCATGGCTTAAATAGTATTTGGAAGAACAGAAATACTGCCACACCATGACCTGGTGGTAAATAACAATTGTAGATACAATAAAGTGGATAAACACTGATTCTAATCAACCTTATCAAGAGTATGCCCTGGCATATATCCGATACTTTCCTCCCAAGCAAGAATCATATGTTTTCCCTTGGCGCGCAGTTCATCGGCTTTGTTTCCCATCCACTTAAATCCAGTCAGAGTGACGTCGCTATTGAAACCTTAATAGCAAACGGTTTTCCATCTATAAAAACGCTAACTTCCGCTATTAGTATTTTATAAAAATTGAAACTCCTAAAAGTTAAAAACTTGGGAGTCATGAAACATAAAAGGTAAATCAAACTATGAGCAAAGAAGAATAAAACCTTCGGTTTCCGCAATAGTTCTTACTATTTGTGAGGAAACAGCGCTGTTTATGACGTAGACATTCGATTTATTCACTTCCGGATGAGCCTGAAGTGAGCACGTAATGCGCTGAAACCGAGAGGAGCATTTAAACCACTAACTTGGTGCCAGTTTGTCCACACCCACCAAGTTAGTAAGGCGCCCATTTCGTTCCCGGTAAAGACATGCCACTGCCCACTGGAAAAAATTAAGTAGTAGTGTAGTCACTTTTTATTTATTATTTCCTCTTTTTCATGGTAGAGCATGATATGCCACGGACCTCCCTCATATGAAGCATCACGAGCCGGTTAGTCGCAAGGCTACGTGGCGCGTACCTAGGTGGCGGATAGGGGGTTAATCGCCGACCAAAAGCGACCTTTGCTTCCCTGAGATGCAGCTGCATCCAGAGGATGGACTCCTTGTTTCTGCTGCCTGATTTGGCACATACTTTCTGTATTTGATAGGCGTATTCATGCATGCGTGTGTGGGTGCGTTCTCGCTTATGTGGATTGTATTCTACGAGTCAATTCGGCCGAAAGCCTGCAATCAAGCGACAGTGAAGTATATGGGAAGCGAGTAGGAGTCGCTTCCAGCGAAAAAGCTCCATGTCCACTCTGGAAAAGCCTGGCAAGCTACCCGTGAGTATACCCAGCCCCACGTTCAGAGCCCAGCAAGCTATACGTGGGCATCAAAAGTGCTAAACACATTTAAAAAAAAAGGGCCTCATTCCCCTTAACTCGAAAGGGCCCCCAATTTCGCAGCGTTGGGTAGGACGAGTACGCAGAGGTTGTTAAAATCTCAAGACCAGTGGAAGTTGCCTGAATTTCAAAAAATTATGGTGACGATCTGTACCTAGAATGCACGTGCACTTACATTCGAGTCCTCGATAGAAGAATTGCTCATGCAAGCAGGAAGGATAAGGTACGATGTTATCGGCCTAGCCGAGACGAGACCATGCCACCTATTCAACGCCGTCTATAACACCGGAGAAGAACTGTTCCTCGGAACATGTGACAGTAGAGGAGTCAGCGGCATCGGCGTTCTCATCAACGCGAGTTTGTCCATGAACATCGATTCATTGGAACAGCTTACAATCCGAATTGGACGTTTACGATTAAAAAGATGTGAATCAATACCGACTTTGACAATCCTCGTCGTTTACGTGCTGACGTCAAGCTATGACGAAGAAGAAGTCGGAGCGTTCTATATGGACTTGGAGAAGTTCTACAGAGAAGAGCACACATTCTTCAAGGTCATTATTGCAGATTTCAACGTCAAGAGTGGACCAAGAAGAACGTCTGAAGAACATCACATTGGGATCCACGGATTAGAATGGAACGGAAAGGGTGAGCGACTGAGTTTATCATGGCGACCGAGACCATCCATGGTAAGTCGGAATTCGAGAAGCCCCACCCTCAACGTTGGACGTGGGAGTCTCCCAATGGAGAGTACCATAACGAAATAGACCACATCATAGTAAATAGGTTTTGCCTAACCGATGTTGCTGTTGTCCCAAAATTCTACACGGGATCAGACCATCGCCTCCTTCGTGCAAGATTCACTTTCTCGCGGAAAGGAGAAAAAGCCGCTAAATTCCAAAACCGAAGTCCCAGAATCACCGCAAACTGGGACTTATTCAATTCATTAGTCAGTTGTTGGGAAGATGCCGTTGTCGATAACATCGGCGAAGAATGCGGTCGGCTCATTTAACATCTTCACGTTGGCGATATGAAAGCTGAGAGTTCGAAAGCCACCCGGAGACGTTTGTCTCCAGAAACACTCGAATTGATGCACCAGCGTGAAATCGCACGAGCTGCAAGCAACCACGAACTAACGTCCGAACTTGGAAAACAATGCAGACAAGTGATAATAGAAGATCTCAAAGAGAGAACAGCAGCAGTAATGGTCGAAGCTGCAAAGGCTGGGAAAAGCATTCACAAAGCCCCCCGAAGCTTCGCCAATTACAAGACCAGGATGATTGCACTCCGACGCCTAGACGGAACAATTACGGCGTCCAGAAAGGCAATGGGGAAAATCATTCACGAATACTCCTCGATAGCCACGTCAACCTTCCGTCATATGAAATAAGGGAGGATGGACATGTTGTGCCACCGGCTCTCCCTTCGGAAATTCGACATGCTATTTCGTCGGTGAAAAATCGAAAGCACCTGGTCCAGACAGGATAGGATCAAAACACCTGAAGAACCTTCCGCCACTCTTCACAAACACACTGGCTCGGCTGTTCACACGTTACCTATCTGTATGCAAGGTCCCTACTCAATAGAAGACCAGCAAGACTGTGCTATTGTTCAAGAATGGTGACGCGACCTACACGATATCGGCAACTATCGCACAATCTGTTTGATGTCTGTCGTCTGCAAACTTTTCACTCGAGTCATCATAAACAGGACTGACAGAACACTGGACGAAGGACAGCCATGTGAGCACGCAGGGTTTCGAAAAAGATTTAGTACGATGGGCCAAACGCACACGATAACAAGGCTCATTGAAGTATCGCGAGAGTACAAAAGACCGCTCTGTCTCACTTTCATTGATTTACACAAGGCCTTTGATTTAACTGAGGTAGAAGCAGTCATGGAAGCCCTTGATAGTCAAGGAGTCCCTACTCAGTGCATAAAGATTCTTCGTGAGCTGTACAAAAATTTCACAACCAAGGTATCACCATTCCACAACGATATTAACATTAACGTCAAAAGAGGAATTAGGCAAGGCGATACCATCTCACCAAACTTAACGCCACCCTCTAGGATGTCATGCGAACATTGAAATGGGATAATATGGGAGCGAAAATCGACGGTTGGCAGCTACACCATCTTCGCTTTACTGATGATATCGTCTTTATAGCACCAAACATTAGCCAAGCGGAACGTATGCTTGACGACTTTGATAAGGCCTGTGGAAAGATTGGTCTTCAACTAAATCTCACAAAAACGATGTTCATGAGGAACGGATTGGTTTCGTATGCCCCATTCACGCTCAACATAACGAATATCTCCGAGTGCTCTAGTTATGTCTATCTAGTTCGGGAAATCAACATGTTGAAACATGTTGAACGACTTAGCTCCAGAGTTGAGCAGGAGGAAACGTGCGGCTTGGGGAGCTTTCAAGAGCATTGAGAATGTAGCGAAGGAAACAAAGAACACCCGACTCCGTGCCCACCTTTTCAACTCAACGGTACTTCCTACCCTAACGCATGCGTCAGAAACCTGGTCGTTGCCTAAACAGGATGAAAGATCACTCAGCGTTATAGAACGCTCAGTCGAAAGGACGATGCTAGGAGTATTCTGTACCACGCAAGTGAAAGAAGAGGTCCGAAGTTCCGGCCTGCGCCAACGATCTGCGTATGAACGACAACCGTTAGCAACCGACAACGAATAGATGACAGCCGTTAGTGACTGTATTCCTTCGCATGTCAAACGTACTGCAACAAGACCATCTACATAGTGGTCAGATTTTTTCCTAAAAATCCTGGAAAAAAGACATGGTGCTCAATGAGTTCCTAAAGCAAGCAGGGCCCACTGCGCTAATATTGCATGCGACAGAGAAAAATGGAAGATTTACTGGCGCCCGCTCGAGTCACTCGACGATTAACGGGAATACAGATGATACAGATGATGATGTGAAACACAACTACAATGATGCTGAGATATTTGCAAAACTCCGGACCAACACAACATCATGAATCTTGGAGATGATTCCCTTTCTCGCCAACCATCTGAAAATTCACCTATTTGTACAGTTGGATGGACACTCCTCACTGGTTGTGCAGACTCTAGCGTAATACTCATTTTTCGGAGTTTCGCAGGTTTAGCCAACATAGTTCCGTGGAGTCCCAAGGTCAGCCTAGCTAAAGTTTTCTCAAGTCATTACCACCACAGGCAGTCCACGCTCTCGTGTGTAGGAGGGAGATTGCCACCACGCGACTACTTTGATACCAGAACGGTGGTTAATCGTGATTTTTGTTCACTCTTACCTGGGTTTCCTGATAGAAATGCCAGACTGCTCAACTTGGAAAATCCTGCTCAGACATAGGATGAATCCCCCGATGTATACCGTAACCCGATACCTAGGAACAACTCGCAGCCACAATGAGGCGCTAAACCACTGGGAAAGAGATTGAGATATTTTAGTTAAAACTGAAAGCCACAACTACCACGTTTGTTCAAAGTTTAAACACAATTACTTTATGGCACGTGCATATTGAAATCAATACGCATAGTCGCGAATCTGTTAAATCCGTATAAGAAATTAATTTGGATTTACTATTACGTGGAAAAAAACTAAATGAGAAATAATAACGAACCTAGGTTGTTTCTCAGCCAACTGAATTCTGTCAGCATCAGGATCATTCGCAAGGATTACTGTAGATCCGTGAGCATCCGCCGTTTTGAACGAAAGTGTTAGTACCTTTAAAAAATAGAAGAAGAAACATAAACAAAGACAAATAATGCAAAAATCACCTTATGCCCTTCTTCAGGATTAGGAAAAGGAACTGTTGGGAAGTCGGGATCCGGCTTTTCTTGTTCCTTGAATATTATCACATCAGTTTAGGCAACATAGACAAAACATAAATCTAAGGGAATTAATGAAGCATGAACAAAAATAAATTAAAAATACTATGATCGACATACTTTCACCGAAATGAAGTGATCCTCAGGAAAACCAAATTCCTCGAACATACGCTTGGCGTACAAGTACCCCACACCATGGAAAGCAGAATAGGTGATTTTTAACGGTGTTGTCTCGTTGATTTTTCTAGAAGAAATCAAGGAGATTGTATATTTTAAAAGAAATTTCGACATAAAGTCCACTAAACATTTCAGTGGATGGGAAGGCGAGCATATGGTCACTAGGTTTTAAAATTCTTTTTAAAAACCTTTTCTAAATCTAGCTTAGTACAAGAAATAATAATATGTAGGAAAATACCTGTGATAAATGAGAGACTTTTCAATTTCAAAATAGGGATCAATGGTGGTGTCAGCAGATTTTAACATAGGATTTGAAGTTAGTTCATTAATGTCCCAATATTCATCTCTAGGCTTCGTCTCAGATTCAGCTATACGGATAATTTCTGTGTCATGTGGACCAATAATCTAGAAAAAAGAAGATAAAATGAATGCTCAAACGCTATTTTCTCAAAAAAGTCATACTTGAAGAAATGAAAGAGAATGGACTTCAAACGCTAACCTGAGCCCCATTACTCCAGTAAGCTTTATAGCCGTTATCTTCTTTAGGATTGTGAGAAGCCGTTATAATTAAGCCAGCATCACATTTCAGCACAATTGTTGCAAAAGACTAAACGATGTATTGTACCGAAAAAACATATTGCTTTTATTAATATTACTTCATACCAAATTAAATCAACATTATCTTACTTTGAAAATTATTGACACAAACAAGAGTACCAATAAAAGAAAGCTTTTTCACTGATGGCACGTGAGCAAAGACTTACGACATTAGGAGTCGGACATACTTCACTGAAGAGATAGACGGGAATACCGTTACGAATGAAAACATTAGAGGCCAGATGAGCAAAGCTGAAGACTGATTATACATTGCATTGAACTGAACACGGCGTTGAACTATTTTCCAGACTACTTTTGAAATACCACAAACATGAGTATTAGAGAAAACGAAAATATAGAAGGAAAACTGGGAAAGAAACGATTCTTTCTTTTTTGTATTTCTCTTCTACGTTTCAATTAATGGATAAAGTACTGACTTCGACAACGTGTCGGGCAATCCAAAAAGCTAAGCAAAGGTTTTACGGTACGATAAGCTTTTCGCTTCAACTTCCTGAAAACCACAACAACTGCAGCCATTGCTGGACGCTTCATCAGTAAACGAAGGAATAGTTTGTGCCAATATGTTTAAGAATCAAGAAACGAATTAAGAATTCGAATTAGAATTAAGAATTAAGAAGAATTAAAGAATTAGAAAGAATTAAAGAAATAAAAAAGATCTGATTAGTAGGAGAAAAGTAATGGAAATCTGTGAAGATGTGTAGCATATAGTGTAAATGAACAAAAGAAAAGAAATAAGCTACAGTCAAGTACCTGAATACAAAACAAAATAATCCAGCGATAAATAACAGTAAGTCATAGAAGACGCTCTGACCAATTTCGCGGCAGGGCTTTAACATTTATTAGAAATAGTTGTAAAAATTCAATACGAGAAATGAAAACATTCAATAATCGCTCTTTGAATTTCTTCAATGTGAAATCGATTATAGTTCATACATGATAGCTTCTCCCTCCGATTAAGAAGATGTCTTCATGCATAGAATTTGTGAACTCCTTGGGGTATTTCTGTTACACTATGTTTGTAATAAATATTTCCATTCTTTTTCTTTAATTTTTAAAGTATTACTTTTCCCTTAAGAAGTACCTAAGTTCCAAAAAAACTGAGGATACACAAGACTTAAAGAGTTAGCACGCGAGTTACAAACCAACCTATTCTACAACTCAACCTATTCTATTTTTCTACCAGTAATCATGCAACATCAAGCTGGTGTTCACTGTCCCGTTTTCGTTCACTGGTTGGCCTCACAACAGCGACCAGTGCTGATAGCATTCGCTTAAATTTTTTTTGTGCTTTCCCCTAATTTGGTCGAATTATAAATTCCTCATAAGAGTTTTGCCATTTTGATGAAAGGAAAAGCAAATTATCCTTTTTGACGAACACCAGTCAGCTGATTTATGGAATTTCAGGTAGTAATCATAGTCAATACACGGACGCCCTAAACTACCTAAGCGGTGGTTCGAATGGCCTCTCATCACTCCGAGATCGGAATAATGATACCAGAATCCTCTAGAACAATCTGACTCCCGCAAATCCACGAGCGAATACTCTAGCAGGACTATCACAGGACTTCAGCGAGAATCGGTCCTACCAACACTCAACAATCGTGATCAAGAGCAAAGCCTCAAGCAGCAATCGAAAGAATGTATAAAAAGCTTAAAGACCTGGATAGTCGATACGAGGAACTCTGTCATGCCTGGTCACGCATTAATAATAAAAAAGGTTTTTAGCCGTAGTCAATTGAATAGTTCAATAGGTAGCATTTTTTACAAGGCAGAGAATAGTGTCCACCTTTTCATATCACCATACGATTCTTCTTCTACTCATATATTGTTTTTGTAAACTGCTGCTGTTTAATACACCACAAAATTACCTATACCACTTCGACCGTCTGAGGTATTACTAATGACTGGACCAGAGACCCGGAGACCTTTAGTAACTTTTTACCTCTAGCGATCCATTTCCATCAGATGCACTCATGATCACTTACTAAATAGATCAAACATTCTATTATGGAGCCACCTTTTTCGTTATACGAGACTCATTCCCCGGCTACTCTACAACGGGATATAACCGAGGGCATTATGTCGTGAGTTCTTTTCTTCCCGTCTTGCCATACATGCATTTAGAGTTCTATATTTTTATTTAGGCCATAATTTCACGATTTTTTTTGTTCCAAATCTCACATGGTCAATCCAGAGTCTTCTTATGATAATGCAAAGTCGCTAAAGCTCTATCATCAAACATTGATAACTATTCGAAAGTACTTTGCTGGTACATCTTTTAATAGTTCCCAGGATCGACTTTCTCTTAACCTCAGCATTGGAATATGAATGCGTCGTTTTCTTGTTCAGCAATCGCGAGGTTTTTAAACAGCATATATTTACTTCCATAGAAAACACAATACAACACAATGCTAGCTGACGTTTCGGCAGCACCGCCTTCTTCAGAGTCTTCTCGAAAAGAGAAGAGAAGTTGTTGATCATGCAATTACGGAAGAGTTTTTCGTCTTTTTGTAAGTGTTACTGAAGCGTTTGGCCTAGTAGATTGTATATCAGCATACCCTTCCAGGCTCTCAAGAAGGCGATACTGCCGAAACGTCAGCTAGCGTTGTATTGTATTGTGTCTTTCTATTGAAGTAAATGTATGCTGTTTAAAAACCTCGCGATTGCTGAACAAGAAAACGACGCATTAATAACTATGGTCTTAAACAACAGAATAGGTGATGCATACAGAATAGTACGAATAAAAAGATACAAAGGATAAAGCGTTCGGCGTTGACGTTGACGATGTGTCAAGTCAGTGTTGCTATCCTCGCAACGAGTTAGGTGGCGATTTTCCGACCCCAGAAAAATGGAAAGCTTGGTGAACCCAGCACCCGAAATCGAACCAACGACTTCGCGAGTATCCCGGGGTACCTTTAACTACTGCACTAGACGCCACCCTATGTTAAGAATAGTGAAATAAAACTTTGATAGCAGATAAAGGAAGAGTATTTTCAACGGGGTTGAGAATAATCACTGTATACATAATGATCGTATAGAATATTTTCTATAGTTCTATAGGATCTACTTCTCACCATACGTTCCAATTTAACCGAGGAAGCAATTGCTAGCGATAACTAGGCAGTGAAAAGGTAATGTTGAAATATCTCGATACGCGTGCATCGATGAGGGCATATGCTATCCAATTATCGAGCGTTTCCGACCAGTTTTACACTTTCAAAGCACTTCGATCCATAAACAGAAGTCTGTTTCGAAAAAAAAGACTGATACTACTTTAGTTGACTTTATTCGCTATATGTTTCACCACTATGTGACACGGCCCCATAGAATTTTTGAAAAACGATCAAGACGTATACCGTTTGCTGTTGTGTCGTCCATCGTAACCAATCACCACTCCGTTTAACTTCTGGCCTGCACGTTCGGCCAATATATGTGTGGCGAAGCCATGCGTAATCCGGATGATCGTAAGATCGTTCAAACAAGCGAATCCGGCATCCATCCGAGCACGAATTCCTTAAAAAATCCGTAGCACCAACAGCTATGTTGTATGTTTTTTCCAGTTAAAACAAAGTACGGAATTCGGAATGTAAGAGTTCATATTTGTACAGCATACAACTTAGGTGGTAAGTATGTCAAGAAGTTATAATACTTACAACACTAGTACCTTTTATAGGCTATTGATTCGATAGATCTTAACTAAAAACCTATCCACTTCCCTGTTTTTTGGTTCTTATTCTTTGCAAACATTAGAACACTTTTTCGCAGAGGTCAAACGATGGTTTGTTCGAGACACATTGTTTTGCTAATCGCTATGTGCCGGCTAACATAATACCGACTGCTGCAGGATGGATTATCCGTTGAAAAACAAATTATTGTCAACGTATAGCCGTATTTACCAACAACAACCGTTCGGTATAAAAAAGCGCTGCTTACTGACGTTACAAATTTCGCGCGGTGCATTGAAGAAAATCCGATTCGATACAATCCGACGCCACATAGAGAAGACGAACGACTGTGGATGATTCGGATCACTGGTGCTGATGGAGACGAAGACGTCGAAACGTTAGCCGAATAAACCTTCTTATCAATCTCGTGTTAGCTTAATAATCCACGACTGTATTCATTAGAACACTTATTTGTTTATGCGACAAGGGAAGGCAGCGCAGGTGTTCGTTCACCACTAACACGGTACTGTCTCAACGTTGCCCTGGCTCACCAATCATCTCATTTTTCCACAGTCGAGAAATTGGTAACAGACTTATCCAAGAACAGCTCACTCCCTCCCGATCCACGTAGGAAAGCTCTACAATGGCTATTCTAAGACTCCAGGAAGAATCGACTCAAGCAGCACTCAACGACATTCATGAAAAAAAATTTTCAAGTAAAAGCCAAATCCACACAGCATTCGTGATGATGGATGCGAGCGAACGACTGGAATGTGTGAAGTGCTGGGAGACGCATAGTAGATGTGAAGATTAGTCATACAAAAAATGTGTTTATATGACACATTGTATGGATCACTGAACTTCTTTCATTCGCTTCGTTCTCCCGTTTTCGTCATCCACTGGGACCTAAGGGTTCGCGTATAGCCTTGGTTACCAGTTAAGGGCTTCTGCATTTTGTTTTTAATGAACGTCGCTGAATGTTGGTCCAGTTGATCGCATCTCCATTCCTAGGATAACGCTCTCGTTAACTCTCTTAACGATAACGCTCTAATAAAGGATAAAGCTCTCGGCATTGATCAATCTCTGAGGAATGCGCCATGCATTAGACTTCATTAAGCATAGTTTGGAGGCGACTGAATGCATACTTGGCTTTAACAATAACTCGCTGTCGCCTACCGATATAATCGAGCCAGTGCTTCTATTCTTCCAGACAGGCTTGGTGAGCTTTGGGAGCGGGGATCGATCCCATGTGTACTGCAAGGCGCCTCCGACTACTGCGCTACAAGATCCCCCACGCCAAAAGATATTCAACAGAATTTTCGAATCACCGCAAAAAGATACCCATTTATGGTCGTAAACGATAAAACTGAAAATATGTATATCTAGGGGTGTGATGTAGTTGTATTCTATAGACTCTTGAGAAAGTGAAAAGTTTTAACGTTTTTATTTACTGCCTATTATTTTTCACTGCAAGGTATTTGCGAAATATAACTACTATAATGCTGAGATATTTGCAAAACTCCGGACCGCAGGTGACTGCGGTGGAGAACGAACGCGCTATTGTCCTTTCCGAGGAGTAACGCGTTCACCACCACACCATGCCGGTTTTTCGTTTCGCCTGTCTCTCAGCTAGTTCTATCGATCTTTGCCATCAGCAATCACCCGTTAGCGAGATTGATCTGGAGAGCCCAAATCGGTATTGAACCCACTTAAGCTGAGGCTATAGTTATAATCACAATCTTAACCATTTTATTTACTGCCTATTCTTTTTAACGGTAGGGTATTTTTGCCGTTAAAAAAAATAAAAAATAAAAGAAATAAAAAAGAATAGGCATTAAATAAAATGGTTAAGAATGTGATTATAACTATAGCCTCAGCTTAACTGGGTTCAATGGCAATTTGGCCTCCCCAGATCAATCCCGTTGACGAGTGATTGTTGATGGCGAAAGATCGATAGAACTAGCTGAGAGACAGGCGAAACGAAAAACCGGCATGGTGTGGTGGTGAACGCGTTACTCCCCGGAAAGGACAATAACGCGTTCGTTCCCCACCGCAGACACCTGCGGTCCGGAGTTTTGCAAATATCTCAGCATTAAAATTGTTATATTTCGCAAAGTAAAAAGTGTTAATGAACTTTGAGCCCTTTCAGCGTCAAATGTTCAAAACCGTAAACACTATAACTGCTGTTGATTAAAGAACAGATTTTCAATGCATTGGTCAAGAAAATGCTGCACTTTTTCCATCTTATTTGCTCAATGTTTTCTGCTCACAGTATTCTCGAATGCTTTCAGTAATGAGTTTAAGGAGTCTTCACTAAAGATTCGCTTTCATCAGAACCCTATGCTCAATGAAAATCAGTCGGTAGTACACGTCTCCATTCAAGAGTTTTCCTTCAACCAGTTGTTATTAGCCATAATAGGATCAACAGGACAAATCAATTGTTTCCGTCTTGATCATGATAGACCAAGTCGAACTAAGAGGAATAAGAGGTCTCAATACTTATCATCAACAAGGCTTTACTTCAAATCCATAATTTACTTTACCTGCAGTGCCAAATACAAGTCGGCCATTCATCCGAGCTGCCAATGCGGTGTAGTTCTTCGCCTCTGCTAGAGCAGCTATGCAAGTTCGCGTTTTCTCATTCTGTAATATACATTCAAGCCTTCCAACAACCCAAAAACTCAGTAATAATCGGTTTACCTTATCCCAAGCCAACCAGTTAGCTACTTTCGTGTCCAATCCATTCCGGTCTTCTTCCAGCATTTTACAAACGTTCCAAATTCAACCTGAAAACTACATGAAGTAAAAAATAATGCCAATAAATTGGCAACGGAACTATCGAAGACATCAACTGAAGGAACAATGAGTTTTAATGCTGTGAAAGAACGACACAAGACGACATATTCAGCAATAAGAGGCTGCCTATTTTCACTAAAGTGCAACTCATAATGGGAATGAAAATTTCGAAAAGATTTTCGAGTAAAGCAACAAAAACAATATTTACCCGGAAGAAATAGAAAACATTTCTATCGAAGTACAATCTTCTAAGAGCTTGGGCAGAATCTTACACATATGTTTATCTATTTCACTGAGGCTGTTTCATATCTAAGCAGCGGATCTAGTCCCAGACTACGGAAGGGACATTCCTGTTCTATAACAATATTATTTCTATCTGTATATTGTCTGGGCAGACATTGGCCACGCCGACCTCGCGATACTAACGAACCACAATGGCTAAACTAGCAAAACTCCGAGAAAGCGGAAATTACGCTGAGGTCCGCACAACCAGTGAAAACGGCCCATTCAAGTATACAAGTTAGTAACAGTGCATTGCACACGATTATTTACCACTTTCGATACTAGGCCATCTATGATCTGATGATTCCATTTTGGGATGAAATTTGTTGTTCCACCATGGTGCACCACCGAAGGATCCATTTGATGGGTCCGGAGTGAAGCTCAGTAAGAAGTAAAACGAAGCCATCAATTCGTTCTATCGGAGGTCAAACCACAAAGAAGCAAATATCCTCCCCATCCAATACTAGACTGCCTGTGTATAAAGACGTTAAATTTGTGTACAACTAACTAATTGAGAACCCCAGCAGAAAAGCCTTTCTCAACCACCAAAACATAATATTACAAGACCGAAAACCATTATCTACTTAGCCACTTCACATTGTTATTCATTTTCAAATAAATCTCTAAGCAGTTTGACTTATATAATTTAGGATTTCAAGCACAGATTGCGTTTCTTATTTGGTCTTCGACTAATGGTTTCATTTTAGTTTAGATTTTTGTTCAACTTGACTTACTGACACTAACATAGAAAGAAAAAAATTCGAGAGCTGTTTTCCTTTGCACAGATTCCAGTACGACGGCAGGCAACGATTTGCTCAATGAAAATGAGAATTCTGGAGTTGAAAGTGGCAGGAAACAACACGATGCCACTTATGACGACTACCTGAAGTCGTTTACTTAAGCAAGTCGAGATAGAACAGCTCGAAAGATTGCGGAAAATAGCTGGTACCCAAAGTAATGACTTCTATGCAAACTAATCGAATTAAAAATTCAAGAAAAACACGACAAATGGGCCTCACACGAAATGAGCACAAATAGGAACATTGTTACTGTGAAGTTCGCTCTGCGTCCACTTAACGCCATGACTCTCGACCGATATCCGAACAAAAAACTTCTATAGAACAAAAATCGACTAAACCTGAGGCGGCAAAACAGTTTTCGAAGCAAAATTTGCACTAAAATCAGGTTGTGGCGGCAGTTCCTTATCAGCTAGATAAAATCGTCCTCCACTGTGTTCCAAACCCTGAGGAAATTACGTCAACAGAGACATTTTGCAAGTACGATAATGCTCTAAGAACTGTAATGTCCCGAACTAGTATTAATCAATTTAAAAAGAGTGGTTTTTTGTTAAACCATAGCCACTCACATATCATAGACTGAACAATAAAACAGTCGCTACAATTACGGATATGAAAGTGCTTCACACGGCATATCCATGAGCCTTTTTCTCAACCAACTACCACTTTTTCAGTTAGTTATCTCAAGAAACTGCTAGCTGGAAAAAGCTTCAACAACCAAACCACTGGTGAAAATGCCTGGAGAAGTAGGTGGATTTCGGAGAGCAACAATTTTACTACAATGGGATTAAAAAAAGTCGTTCACGGCTGACAAAAACATGGATTTCAAAGGCTCCTATTTTAATTGAGGTTCACCATAAATTTAGATATGTGTTTAAAGATGTATGTTAGCAAGATACATTTACTGCCAGTCGTCTGATAGCAGTCTCATTACTTGCCATCTAGCGCAATTCTACCTACAACGTCAAGTACCAGTGATTAGACGTTGTTCTCTACGCTTTTCTTGAGTTCGCATGTCATATCAAACTTCATGTGGTCGTTCTATATAAAAGCCTAATTCAATTTAAAGATTCTTTCTATTTCAACAGGAGATGAAGATTATGCTGGGGCTCCCACAATCAGTGAGGATGTACAAGTGTCCATTTGAACAGAATGAATCCCGCCTTGAAAACGCAAGTGGGGTTGCCATTACACCCAGTCCACGTCCTTCTCGGTAACCTCATATAATATTTTCTCGTGCTACATGAAAATCCTTTGATTCCAGTCTAGACAAGTTCATCGACCAGCTGAAGGTGGTAGTTAACGAAAAGATCTGTAAATTTGTTGCTGCAGAAAGGGAAATTTGGTAAAGACGAAACTGGAGAAGAATCGCTGTCATCCGACAAGATGGCAAGTCGTTCCAGATTCTAACATCTTTAAAGGACACCTTTCCAAACAACTTTGACACACAGAGAAAAATGATTGAAAACACACGAGTCTCGTGTCTGCTTATTGAAGAAAAACATCGGATTATCAATCAATGCCGAGCTTAACAGAAATTCGGTCTTGGGAATACTTTTTTCATTTTCACGCCACCCAACAATATATACACCAGCCTTTGTCAGACGGGAGGAGGTTTTCACACAGGTCTGGTACAAAATTCACGTCCTCGGAGGAATGGGTGGTTTGGCTGGTTGGACGAAGGGTCGAGCCAGAAGATTGGGTGTATTGAACCGTGCCTCTATAATTGCACTAACCTGCCTGGAAGTTACTGAAAGCAAAAAAAACGATGGCTTACAACAAGAAAAAAGAATAGTAAGAAAATTTGCAGACCACGCCCATATGATGTTAAAACCTTGCATCAGCTCAACAAGATCATTCAAAACACCGACTTTCTATAAACTTCGGCATAAGTAGTTTATACATTTATTTATACGTTCTTATGAACTGATCTTGTTGAGACGATGTGAGGTTGGTATAGGTCGTTGCTGTCGTTGCCCCTGTCGTTGTTGTTGGTGCTGTGGGTCGATGGCTGACGTTTCGGCGATTTCGCATTCTTCGGGAGGATGGACGTATTTTGTGCAACAGTAGCCTTATATTCGGTGAAATATCTATAGTATTACTGAAGATTAAACATATAAATGAACCGGAAAGACGAATGTCTCACTACCACACGTAATCTGGCGCCTTATTTCAAAATGATTTTTTGACCTAGGTGGGCCTCGCTCGCCATCCCACGTGAGCAAGTGGGCAGTCCCACTCGTAACAGCACGGTGAATAGTCTTTTTGGTCAATATGGTGTTTATTTACATGTTTGATCCTCATTAATAGCATAGGTTTTTTCGTCGAACTGTGAGACTATCGTTACACAAAATACGCCCAGGCTCCCAGAAAGGCGAAATCGCCAAACCGTCAGCCATCGACCAACAACACCAGCAACACCAACAACTACGACAACGACAACGGAAACATACCAATCTCGCATCACCTCAACAAGATCAATTAATAAGAACATATCAATAAATGAATATATTAATTATTTATACCCAGGTGTACAGAAAGTCGGTATTTTGAGACAATGTCAAGATTTTTGTGGTCATGTGGTGATGGCGCACGAAGGGGTGAGGGCGCACTGGTCGGAGGCGTCCACCTGCAATACACATAGAATCGATCCCCACCTCCCAGGCTCACCGAGCCCTCCACCCCTCCGGTGTTCGCAAATTGGTGCCAGACTTGTCTGGGAGGACAGCAGTTCTGGCCCGATACATCGGTAAGCCACCGCGAGTCGGCCAAATATGTAAAGGGCCAAATATGCATTCAATCACTTCCAAACCATAAAACCCTAGAGCTTGATGAAGTCTAATGCAAGGCGCATCCCTAAGGGATCGATCAATGCCAACAGCTTTTTTTTTATTTTTTAACTCGTCATCTTCGCGAATAGCACACGGTACGTTTTACGCACTACACAACGAAATCGGCTCTGAAAACGGCGAAGTCGCCGACGCTTCAACCACAGAACTTCAAAAACACGTGGCTCAACAACCAACAACCTCGAGTCAGCTCATCAAGAACGGGTCGTAATAATCAAATAAATTAATCACTAATGTCGAGGCTTATTGGAACTCGGTCTTGTTAGAATCATGTTAGAAGTCATGTTAGAATATTTAAGACAAGATGTTAAACAACATAGAATCCGACTTTCACAATATTTTGTTGAGCATTCACTGAAAGAAATGATTTCACATCGATAATATACGGAAAACACAATATTCTAGAAAAAACATGCGAAGTGCGCCATCAAGCCGTTCTTCAGTCAACAGCTTCTAGTAATGCAGTGTTAGGTGATAAAAGTATGACCATTCCATGTCGAACGATTTGTCACAACACATGAGTGTCTACCACTTACTCAACAAATGTATGAAAGAAGGAATCAAACGAGATTAGACAAGAAGTCCAAAGAATTTTTGATGGGTTATTTGACATAACATTCAAATCTGAATAGTCAGTCATCTTCCCGCTATACTACAAACGAGTGCTGAGTGAGAGTGGAAGATCGAACCCAGAACAGACGTACTTAGGTAGGTTAAACACTAACACCCTAAAACTTTAACATAATACATTGAATTATCCTGTCGAGGAGTAAACCAACTCTACTGATAATCCCTAAGTCGCATGAAAATAATGAAGTAGGAAAATCAATAGAGCACAACAATGCAAATTTGTAAAATATACACATAAGAGCTGTTAAAGATGTAGATATTTTCAAGACCGACTTTCTGTTGACCTCGCCATTGATTGATAATTCGGTGTTTTTCTTCAATAAGCAGACACGAGGTTGTTATTATAGGATTTATTAGGACACAATAGCTGACGTTTCGGCGGTTTCGTCTTCTTCAGAGTCTGGAAAGG